GAGACCGTTGCTCTTTCATCACCCCATTCCCCGCGTACCGCGTCTTACCTTTGCTGAACAGTTCCACATATTCTGATACCTAGTTCCTGTATACGGATATTCCTTTCGCAACGCTAATATAAGAAGGCACACACATACACATGACGCCGTAGCTTGTATATAAACAGAACGAGGTAAAGAGCGTGATAGGGCTCCAGGTCGCCAGCTCTGCTCACTTCGTCCTTTCCGTTTGGAATTGTTCCTCTCTCTGACCTCTTCTTCCCTGTCCCTCCGCGAGACCTACATAGAAGGGTTAAATAAACTTACCTTGATCGTCGTATCTCAGTAAAGACCTTGATGGTAATCCTCGTACATCCCAAGGTATAGGTAGATAGCTCGGACCACCATCGCAGACACTGTCCCAGTTTCCTTACCACCATCGGAACATCTCCACAAAGCATTATGGTCCTGCAATTGTTCCACTTACTTGCAATTCCATGGCGTTATGTTCCGTCCACCTCACCAGTGGATTTCTCCAAGTATCACAATTCCCATCTGTTTGGCGCCATTATTCTTTGGATACATTACCCACGTAGCCAGTGTGCTCCGCCATTTATCCTATGCTCACTAGATGTTTATCTACTATGGTCTGTACTATTGCGTTTGGCCATACCTGTATTCTGGAGAATACAATGAATCTTCCCATGCATACATTCTACTGGTTTGAACAGTTGGGTTCAAATCCATTATATCACTACAAAGAAGCGCTTTATTTAATTGTAAGATTCCTACTTATTTGTGATACTATGGTGTTATACCTCCTCCACCACTCCAGTGGATTACTTCCCTTGCAATATCACAATATTTAAGTACTTGACTCGACTATACTGTGGACACCCTACCCACCTTGCGAGTGAGGTCCGCCCATGATCTTACGCCTTTTATATAATACCGGCTGCGATATTTAACAGAATATAGATTTGGCCATTCCGGAGACTACTGCAAGCCCCTTAATCGGTGTTTTCTATTGGAATGAACAATTAGAAGAAAAACCACTTTACGTCTGCAACACGTCACAAAAACCTTAATCACCCCGAAAGTGTTCTACTTATCTGCAATGGTGATTAATCCTGGGCCGTTCTGCGAATCCTACTCGGCAAGTGGGTTATCTGCTTGGACGATTATACTACGTATGATATATCCGACTATAATCCCTCTGTGGTTCCTGTTCACCCACAAAATGCACCTCAAGTTACCTAGCCCCATTCCGTACAGTACCGTCGGTTCCAACCGTTAATGGTGTATCCTGAGGGATTGTCAAGGATCACATCCTTCTGACCTTTTCTCTTTTCCTTTCAGATCGGCGGCCTGACAATCAATCAAGAAACTTAGGCCGTTTATCAGTAGACGACGATGACTAAAGAATAATAATTATTACTATTGTTGTACTTCTATTCCGGTTTGTGTACAGTTAACCCCTTTTGCTTGAATAATCTGAATTCTGACTTGCCAATTACACGCTGCCGGGCGCACGCTGCGTTTTGCCCTGACTATATTCGTGTGTTGTGGCCACAGTAACGCTTGTCGCCGTCGAAATCAGTTCTTCCCTACGTTTTTCAGCCACTGACGATCTTTCGTGTTCACCTGGATCATTGCACACTACCTACCTGGTGACAGTGGTGGGATACCGTCATGGCATCCCGCGCAAAGAAACCGAAGAACAAAGAACAGGGTTTCTCCGCTGCACATCCATCAAGTTGTGAACAGCCACCTTTAGAACTTAGACCTTGGCAATTTTCCCTCCGTCCCCCACCTGTTTTTGATGTTGACACAAACTTATACAACTGGCGTCGTCGCATGGCAATGTCCCTTGCTTGCCTCCCAAAAGAGCATGTCTTCGGTTATAATGAATTCCCTCAGCGACCAACTTCAGGAGATTTTGTTATCTACTGATATTCGCCCGGTTGCCTCCGGATGTCACCGAAATTTGGAATCAATTAGACACCCTTTATCCAGACAAAGAGCACGAGTCAGCTTCTCGATCTGTCTTTTGGAAGAGGTTTCGTCAAGTGACAGAGTCGGCCGATGCCTTTTTGTGGGACCGCGTGCGATCGGCCAAGGCTTTTCCAGGAAAATCGGTAACAGAAAGGGAAGCCTTCATCTTAGAGCGGTTTATTGAAGGCATCAACGAGGATCGCATCTCGGAGCATTTTACACGTGAGTCTCCGAGAGACTTAGCGACCGCGGCGCGGTTTGCACGCGAAGAAGAGGTGATCCGCGATAGGAGTCCGAGGGAAATTGACAAGCTGATGGCTATTAGTTGTGTGCCGCTGACGATGAACCGGACTGAACCGCCTCACGGCCTAAGCTCACATACTTGCCGTCGTCATTGTCCCAAGTGCCAGAATTCGCCCTATGAGAAGCCAGTACGACGCCCCCGCAATTTCCGAACTCGCGAACAACCACCGGGAGTGCGATTCATTGACGGTGAGTCAGAACTTCCTTGTGTACCTTTAGTGTCTTCTAAGTTCTGTGAATCCCCAACTGTAGATGTAGTAATCAATAATCAGCGATTACATGCCCTCATTGACACCGGTGCAGCATGTAGCCTTTCAAAATCCTGTTTCTTGTCCTCCTCAGTAGGCACTAGTCTCGCGCGTCAGGTCAGAGTGGTAAATGGTATGGTTCTGCTTGCTCATGGTGTTGCTTCCGTAGATTTGCTAGTCGGTCAGGAGCATCTTTCTCATGAGTTTTACACAACCGATCAAATTCCAAGGGAAGCGATACTGGGGGTTAACTTCTTATGTCGGTATACATGCGTCATCAATCTAATCTCCGGAGTTTTGACATTACGTGGTAATCTGCTCCATCTAAACATCAAATCTAGCAATGGCTACGGGAAAAAGCTTTTTACTTTGGATGCTAGCACCGTGGATGTTGAAGGTGAGATTTCAGAATTGCTTTCGTCTGTCAGCCCTACTGTTGACGGTGCGGCTCGGAAGCGCCTGGAGAATGTACTGCGTTCACACAAGCGCGCGTTCGCGTAGAAAGGTACATCTTTGGGTAGAACGAGCGTACTTAAACATCGGATTGAAACAGGGGATGCTCCACCAATACGGCAAGGCCCCAGGCGTGTCCCACCCAGGTACAGACAGGAATTATAGAAAGTCGTGGATCTGATGTTAAAAAAATATCATACGTCCTTCGCGATCCCCCTGGGCTGCCCCTATTGAATCAGTCAAAAAGAAGGATGGAACACTGCATATGTGCGTGGACTAAAAGAAGCTTAATGATATTACACGGAAAGATCCTTTCCCGCTACCTCGCATTGACGACACTCTGGAATCATTGCATGGCAACATCTGGTTCTCTACCTTGAACATCGCCTCAGGTTAGTGGTAAGTCGAAGTACACCCTATGGACATTGAAAAAACTGGCTTCGTTACACCCACAGGGCTATATGAGTTTCAGACCATGCCGTTGGCTTTGCCTAATGCACCAGCGACCTTCCAGCGATTGATGCATATTGTACTTAGAGATCAGCAGCCAAGCAAATGTATTGTATACCTGGATGATGTCGTAGTTCATGGACGTACTCCCGATGAACATCTCATGAATCTAGAAATAGTGCTAGCGTGCCTTAGTTCTGCAGGATTGAAGTTAAAGCCGTCTAAGTGCGACCTGCTGAAGAGAGAGATGTAGCGCTTGTACATATCTCTCTTCCCAATTGTACTTTCCTATTCTCATTCCCACTATTATTGTACAGTTTTGTTTTAACTGACCAACAACCGAAAAAAGACTTTTCGGGTTTCGATTCGCCTTCTGGTTTCGGCTACGCGTGTTGTGCTGTTGATCGTCGTCGGTCTGCTAGCCTCGTCCATCGATCATCGGATCTAACGCGTCGATTTATTGTGCCGACTAAGTTTCGTCTTCCGACCAGATTGTGCGACTAACTGACGGCCTACCGAGGATCGTGCTTTACCTAAGGTCAGCTCCAGCATTCTTATTTATAGACTGAGAGTTCTTTTATGTAGTTAAGCCCTTTCCGTTTGGCCTTTCCACTACATATTTGGTGACCCCGTTCTCTTTTTTGAAAGCTCAGAACTCCTTTTTTGTGCCTTTACTATGTCGGACCACGATTCCCGCACTGACATTTCAGAAAATTTTGTTGGTTTCTCCTTCCCTGCCTTCGATTCATCTAATCCTCACGTGTGGTTTTTACAATTGGAAGCTCTTTTTCGCATACGCCGTATTACTTCTCAGTCATTAATGTTCGCACATGTCACTGCCCAGCTTCCTACCCACATCGCAACTGACCTTATAGATTTGCTCGACCCGATTCCGGCTGACGCACCTTACGATAAGCTGAAAGCCGCCGTTTTGAAGCGCACCACGGCCTCCGACGAAGCTAGACTTCGACAGTTACTTTCCGGTGTTGAACTAGGCGATCGCACGCCGTCACAACTCCTCAGGCACATGCGTACGTTGGTCGGTTCCTCTAAGATCGATGACACAATTCTGCGACAGCTCTGGACGAAATGTCTTCCAGCGAACACCTCAGCTCTTCTCGCCGTGTTCGCAGATGATTTGTCTTTGGACAAGCTGGCCGAAACAGCAGACAAAGTTCATGAGTGCTTTCATAAACACGCAGCATGTCACTCAGTTGAGTCGACCGCTAACGCCGATCTTAAGACTGACCCGATTGAAGCCATTTCCGAGAGGTTATCAAAGCTGGAGCTCGCTATCTCGAGCATTAATCGCTACAGTGGTAGTAGCCCTAGACGCCGCTCTCGAAGTAGACGTAGTCCCGCCAGGAGTTCGAAACGTCATTTCTGTTGGTACCATCACCGTTTTGGCGATGATGCAAGGAATTGTCGACCTGGTTGTAACCACCCGAAGGCATTCCACAAACCGCAGCAGGGAAACCTCCACGCCAGCCAGTGATGGCGACGGCTGCGTCTGGCCAATCTTATAGTCGCCTACTTTACGTCTACGATTCCTCAACCAATTTGTACTTCTTGGTTGACACCGGTGCCGAGGTCAGCGTTATTCCTCGTGCTGCAGAAAAACGCAACCTACTTCCAACCGGACTGACATTGCAGGCGGCGAACAATACCAAGATCCATACATACGGCCAGAAAATGTTGACTCTCAACCTTGGTCTTCGTCGAAGTTTTCCCTTTGTTTTTCTCATCGCTGACGTCCAACGCCCCATCCTTGGTGTTGATTTCCTTACCAAGTTCGGCCTGATCGTGGACCTGCGTAACCGTAAACTATGCGATAGTTTGACATCCTTGTCCGTTTCGGGTAAAGTCACTTCGATCAGTTCGATCGGTCTTCGCTTGGCATTGCCCGCCGACAATGTGTTCACCAAACTATTGCTGCAGTTTCCTGCTCTTTATCAATCGTCTAATGACTTTCCTGAGCCTAAGCACGAAGTTACGCACCACATCTCAACACATGGGCCGCCAGTAACCGCCCGACCTCGACGATTACCTCCAGACAAGCTCGCTACTGCCAAGGCAGAGTTCGAACATATGCTTCGTCTCGGTATCGTTCGTCCTTCCAATAGCCCATGGTCCTCCCCGCTTCATATGGTTCCCAAAAAGTCCAGTGGCGACTGGAGACCTTGCGGAGATTACCGGGCACTAAACAATTCCACCGTCCCCGATAGATATCCGATTCCGCACATCCATGATTTTTCAACTGGTTTACATGGAAGAACAATTTTCTCTAAGATTGACTTGGTGCGTGCATACTACCAAATTCCGGTTGCTCCCGACGATATTCCGAAGACCGCTATAACCACGCCATTTGGTCTTTATGAATTCGTTCGCATGCCATTTGGTCTACGAAATGCCGCACAGACTTTCCAAAGGTTTATCGATCAAGTCCTTAGAGGGCTCGACTTCGTCTACGCCTACATTGACGATATTCTTGTGGCCAGTTCCAATCATGATGAGCATCTGTCACATCTCCGATCGATCTTCGAACGCTTTGCTCAGTACGGCGTTACGATCAATGTTGACAAATGTGTTTTTGGCCAAAGTTCTGTTGATTTTTTGGGCCACCGAATTGATTGCAATGGCATTAGTCCACTCCCCGAGAAAGCACAAGCGATTGCAGATTACCCATGCCTCAATCTTTCAAAAGTCTCCGTCGTTTTCTCGGCATGGTGAATTACTACAGCCGTTTCATACCAGATTGCTCTGGGCTACTCCAGCCATTGACCGATTTACTTAAAGGCAGGTCACGAAAATTCGAGCCCACTCAGGAAGCTATCGATGCATTCGACAAGATCAAGCACGCGTTGTCCAACGCTACCGCGCTTAGTCATTTGAGGACTGATGTTGACGCCACTCTCATCCTCAAGACTGATGCATCTCAGACCGCCGTTGGGGCTGTTCTCCAGCAGGTAATCAACGGTCAACCTGAGCCGCTATCCTTTTTCTCTCGCAAACTTCAGCCAGCACAGACGCGATACAGCACCTTTGGTCGAGAACTTTTAGCTATCTACCTCGCTATCAAACATTTTCGGCACCTGCTTGAAGGTCGCACGTTTACCATTCTTACAGACCATAAACCACTTGCCTTTGCTTTCCGTGGTTCATCCGACCGTTTCTCCCCCAGAGAAATTCGTCATTTGGATTATATTTCACAGTTTTCTACCGACATTCGCCATGTTGATGCTGCCAATAACGTTGTCGCCGATGCCATGTCGCGTATATGTCTTCACGAAGTTTCACAGCAGATTAACTTAGAAGACATAGCAGCTCATCAGGAAGGAGATCCTGAGTTTGTGCAACTGAGATCAAATCCGTCGATCAAAATATCACAGTTGCCAATCCTTAACTCAGACTCCAAAATTTACTGTGATATTTCTACTGGCAAGCCCCGGCCTTTTGTCCCTCAGCAGTACCGCCGAATCGTCTTTGACCACCTGCATGGAATCTCACACCCGAGCCACCGTCAAGCTAATTACTGATCGCTTCATTTGGCACAACATGCGCTCCGAGATCCAGCAGTGGGCCAAACACTGTATCACTTGCCAAACCAGCAAGATCCACCGTCACACGATTACCGTCCCCGGCACGTTTGCTCTTCCCGACGCTCGTTTCAAACATGTTCATCTTGACATCGTTGGACCCTTGCCTCCATCCAACGGTTTTGTCTACTTATTGACGTGTTGATCGTTATACGCGTTGGCCACTTGCCGTGCCTTTACGTGATGCTTCTACAGAAACTGTGGCGCGAACATTCATTGAGAATTGGATTTCCGTCTTTGGCACGCCAGCCACTATTACTACCGATAGAGGGCCCCAATTCAATTCGGCCTTGTTTCGTGACATGAACCGCTTCCTCGGTTGTTCCCACCTACGGACAACCGCCTATCACCCAGCTGCTAATGGCATCGTTGAACGTTTCCATCGCCAACTTAAAGCCGCAATTACTGCTTCACAGTTGAACTCACAATGGTCAGAACGTCTACCGATTATCTTGCTTGGTATTCGTAACACCATTAAAGAAGACATTGGCTGTTGTCCCGCTGAGTTGGTCTTTGGCACTACTCTCAGACTTCCTGGAGAAATGGTGCTAGACTCAAGGGTTACTGGAGAAGTTGATCCGACCTCGTACGTCACACGCCTGAGGCGACACTTCAGTTCAATTCGTCCAACACCACCTCGAATCAGTCCTCGGAGTCAACAGGTACACCCGGATTTGCGCACTTGCCCCTTCGTTCTCGTGCGCGTCGATTCCGTCCGTAAACCTCTGACACCGCCTTACGAGGGCCCCTTTAAGGTTGTTGCCCGGAAAGAGAAGTACTTCGTGCTGGATAGAAATGGTTATCAGGATACTGTGACTATTGACCGCTTGAAGCCGGCGTACATCGAGACGCGACCACTACCGAAACCCACGGACATTCCTGTCACCGACCAGCCCACCTTCCCAAGTACGCCTCCTACTCAGCCCATGTGTGACACCTCTGTTCCCTCTTCTGCACCCCAAGCATCTCACGACACAAACTCGAAATCGCATCACCGAACACGCTTCGGACGTACAGTTGTTCTCCCTTCCAGACTACGGTAAATGACACACAAGTATCGAGCTTTCGTCTCAGTGACTCACGCTCTAGGGGGGGGGAGTTCTGTAGCGCTTGTACATATCTCTCTTCCCAATTGTACTTTCCTATTCTCATTCTCACTATTATTGTACAGTTTTGTTTTAACTGACCAACAACCGATAAAAGACTTTTTCGGGTTTCGATTCGCCTTCTGGTTTCGGCTACGCGTGTTGATCGTCGTCGGTCTGCTAGCCTCGTCCATCGATCATCGGATCTAACGCGTCGATTTATTGTGCCGACTAAGTTTCGTCTTCCGACCAGATTGTGCGACTAACTGACGGCCTACCGAGGATCGTGCTTTACCTAAGGTCAGCTCCAGCATTCTTATTTATAGACTGAGAGTTCTTTTATGTAGTTAAGCCCTTTCCGTTTGGCCTTTCCACTACAGAGGTTAAATAGCTAGGTCACGTGATTAGCTATTCTGGGATCCGAAGAGACCCTTCGAAAGTATAAGGATATCTTAAGCTGGCCTACTCCCGAGTCCTTGGAAGAGGTTCGGAGATTTCTGGGTATGGCTTCTTACTACAGACGCTTCGTGAGGAGCTATGTGGATATGGCAGCACCCTTGCACCGACTCACGGAGAAGGGGCGGCCTTTCCACTGGAGCCCACAGTGTCAGGAATCTTTTGATGAGTTACGTCATGCTTTGGCCAGCGCTCCAGTCCTTGTCTTCCCGGATGTGTCACCGCAAGCCGCTCCATTCATTTTGGACACTGATGCTAGTGAGGTTGATATCGGAGCTATGTTATCACAGATCTCTGTGAATGGTGTGGAACGGTTTGTCTCTTACGCTAGCTGCAAGTTGACAAAAACGGAGCGAAACTATTGCACTACTAGGAAGGAAATGCTTGCTCTGGTCACCTTCGTTAAACATTTCCAACATTTCTTGTTGGGTCGACACTTTATAGTCCGTACTGATCATCAGGCGCTCCGGTGGTTGCGGGAATTTCGCGAACCCGAAGGGCAAGTTGCGCGCTGGCAAGAACAACTGCAAGCCTTTGACTTTGGATGTCAACATCGCCCCGGGAAGTAACACAGAAATGCAGACGCCCTGTCTCGCCGGCGGTCTAGGGCACATGGGGATTGTCCGTCGTGCTCAACCTCCAACGTTGCCATTGTGTCTCTGAACCATTCGGATTCAACAGATTGGGCATCAGCTCACAGTACAGACCCAGAGACCAAGTTGATTTATAAGCGCCTACGACAGGGGAGTGTGAAGCCTAAGAAAGCAGAAATGGCTGGATCCAGCTTGGGAGCGCAATGCTTGTGGTCTCTTTGGTCGACAATTCGGCTATAAGGTGGTGTCATGTACTTTAGAGGGGGATCGAAACTGGTTTGGCGCGCGTTCCTAGTTGAATCTTTGTATGAACGGCACTTTCTCCCATTTGCCTTCAGAGCGTCCTTCTTGCTCAATTACCGGAGGAGAACAAGAACACGACGACATTGGTTAACTGTAACTTCCTTTGTTCCAATTTACCTCATGCTGATTACCTTTTGTAGATGTTACGTGTTGTGGAATAGAACCTCGTACTCAACCCCTGGAGTTCTTCCGTGCTTGCAGGTTACAAAAGTGGCGACCCTGCCAAGTCACAAGAACCAGAAATCCAGCATCATTAGTCCAATGAAGATCATGCCGAAAACTACCGAAAAGTCTCATGACGAAAGCCATTTTGATGTTGTTGACGACCACGACCAGACTTTCCACTTCACTGGATGCTTTGTCCCGTACTTTGGAGAAATTATCGACAGGTTCGAATTCGTCAGTCTGCAGGCATGCAACCCCACCTCCAGAACGCTACACCCCCATGATGACGAAAGTGCAGCTTTATCTCAATCATTTTCCAGTCAAGCAACAAGCAAACGTGCTCGCCGGCCTGCTGTCACGTTATGCTTTTGATATAGTTGCTGGTAGCAAAATTCTAGAAAAAGAAGTCACGACCGAGACGTTCTCTGTCTTGCGTCGCGTAGTGGACCGTCCTGCTTTACCTGCTCCCCTACGCAGAGAATTCCACTCGCGATACCAGTGGCCCGGAGAGAGCACTGGGACGTGTGCGCGCGAACTCCGAGAGATTGCCGACATCGCATAAGAGCAAGAGTCATCGAGCGAGCGTGACAAATGAATACTGGAGCAACTCCTAGAAGGAATCCAAACACCATTCATTAAGCGCGAATCCCTTCTTCACCCCTCCGCCGAGCAGCTGGATGCAGCCATACGAACTAGCGAACAACTGGAGCAAGTCGACAGAGCGATGGCTAAGCCGACTTCCGGGTGCTACGCGTTGAGGGGAAGCGGACGTCCCAGACGTGCGCCATAAGAACGGTGGACGGGGAATCCTGACTATTATCAAAGATATTCCGGCTCACGGCGATCAAAGCAATCGGGTTCTCGGTGGCCCCGCCGACAAACACCGAACCGCGGACTATCTCGCTATAATGACAGACGCCCAGGTGAGTGGCAGCGGGAGCACTCACACTTTATATCCGCCATGGTTTGTGCATCGACCACAGAATCAGCATTAGCAATAGAATTACAGATCGCAGGTGTTCCGTTAATATGTCTCATCGACACAGGTACATGTAAGAGCTTAAGCAGATCTAACCCGACTAACCAGCTAGCAGAACGCGTATGCGCACCTTGTGACTGCCGCCAATGGAGAATTGTTATCCGTTCGAAGATCACTAACCGCACGAGTCGACATTGCGAAACAGTGCTTCACCCAGTAGTTTAGTGTTGCGGACAAAATTCCGTTTGTTGTTATTGTTGGGATGGGTCTGCTGCGCCGGTTGAAGTGTCGATTGCATTTAGACAGGTGTCAACTAATCACTGACAACCGTACAGTATAGTTAAGATATCCTGTGAAAGTGGTGGTTTGGAGGCTTTTACAACCTATGAGGACACCTTAGACAGTGAGAAATGTGGCAGTACGTACGCGCGGGCCTTACCACGACCGCACTTCGTAGCTTGTGATTGGATGCCCGTCCGTTCGCGATCAATACCAGGGTTGTTTTGAATGTACTGAGTGTATGTACCGTTGGCGTGAATAGAAATTTGTGTTGCGTACCAGTAGAGTTCTGCTTCCTCGTTCGGGGCTTTGGTCGTGCTTGTTCAAGACCCTGCGTGCAGGGGACTAGTGTACGTGTAGACACAACAGTGGCGTCTGGGCTGTGGACCATTACAATGGCCTTTCACCTTCTACCTCCAGAAGCCTTTTGGTGCGATCCTGCTACCAGACCTACGGAGAGTGAGTGGATCCAATGGAGAACGTCTTTCACGAATTACTTGAACCTACTCCCAGCAACTACTACTTACGATGAGAAGAAAAATTGAAACTACTTCGTCACCTGTTGGGCAATGAAGGTCAACGTTATTTCGATGAGTTAGATCTGCAGAAATTCGATACACTTACAAAGGCATTGGATGTACTCGATCAGTCCTGGGGGTGCACGGCCAAACATTTTCGCTGAACGCTACAAGTTCTGCTGTTTGAGG